CCTTCAACGAGATGGATTGACACGGTGGCTGCAATGATGGGCTCAAGTATAGTAGGGATTGTGGGGCTGGCGCGGGATCGGGCAGTGTTTTGTTCTGCTGTGCATGGGGTCGCTATGAGTCAGAAATGACTCGACGGCACTTAACAACAACAACAACAAAATTTTAATTTCTTTTTTCAAATCTGCTATCAGTTTTTGTAGTTTCCTTTTCCTCAAAGTTATTTTCAAGCTTGCATTAGTTCATTCTTTCATTTATAAACAGTAAATGCTGATGTTTTAAAGAAAGTGTCATTCATCTCAATATCTCAGTTCTTCATGTGTGTGGTAAATTGAATTATCTGTCATAATTTTTCAATCTGCCGTAGTAAGTACTGTTTATATTTAATGGAGGATAGAGTATACTTCCGGGAGCTCTGGTAGCATAGTGGCTAAGGCACTTGACTGCTAACCAGTAGGCTGGTGGTTCAAACCCACTAGCCACTCCTCGGAAGGAAGATGGGGCAATCTACTTCCATAGTGATACTGCCTCGGAAACCCAAGGAGGGGTCACACAACAACAACAACAACAACAAGAGTATACTTCCTCAGCTTTTGGTTTCAGCCAATGGAAATTACCAGAACTGTTGCAAGTAAAGGCTTAAAATGTGTTTGTGCAATTGGGCTTTCTCTCTTGCACTTTCCTGACACTGCTATGAGAGGATCATGATCTGGCTAGACCAACAGTCCAAGAAGGATTAGAGACACCTAATGTAGCTGGGAACCAACCTACAGTTTGAAGTCAAGCCTGGCCAAGATTTACCGACTCATGGTCTAACTGGGCATGTGTTTGAGTGGTTTTGTTATATGGTTTTATTTTGACAAAGGGAGCTCTGATGGTACAGTAGTTAAGGCATTTGGTTCCTAACCAAAAATTTTGACAGTTTGAATCCACCAACCACTCGATGGGAGAAAGATGAGACAATCTGCTTCTGTAAAGATTTATAGCCTTGGAAACCCTAGGGGGCCATTCTACTCTGTCCTGTAAGGTCACTATTAGTTAGCATCGACTCAAGGGCAGTGGGTTATTATTGTGACAGAGCAGCAATGATTTTTCTATTGTCCGTGTTTTCTACTAGTTCTCATTCATGAGGTGCTATTTTCTTAAAATGAGGCAATCTATTTCTGTAAAGATTTACCACCTTGGAAACCCAATGAGGGTCGATATGAGTCAGAATTGACTCGAAGGAAGTGTTTGACGTTTTTTTCCCCCTTAAGTGTCTCATTAATTTTTAAATTTGTGCTGGCTATTTCACTTGAAAAAATTGTTTGAGTGAATAATTTGAGGCCTACAGCAAAGATAATTTCTTCCAGAGAGGATGTGTTTTTAATGCTACCAAGTGCTGGAGAAATTAACAGACATTAATACCCTTAAGAAGCTTTGGTGGCGTAAAGGTTTAAAGCTTAAGGTTGCCTGGATCACCTACATCATACAAGCCAGAAATGCAAGGCCATTTGAGCAATGACTTCCTTCTGATTCACCTACACCCTGAAGGGTGGCCATTTGGAGTTTTACTGTGAAAAGACTATGAATCCATTCCTGAATTTTCAGCCCTGAACTTTGATTTCTCTCTACCTTTACTTCAAGGCCAACAAAATTAAATTTTATTTGTGCTTGGATTGAGAAATCTATCCAGGGAAAAATTCATTCCTATGCTCACTTTTCTGGATTCATCTTTTTCCTTCCATTTTGGCCAGGTTAATTCCTTACTATCTGGGCAGCTATCTGTTGAATTTAAGGTAATTTTAGAAATATTTAATCAATCATAATTTGTTTCACTAGGAGGTTTGGTCCAATTAAACTAGTCTGAGTTAATTTTTATTCAAAATAATTTTTTATTTAGTCTGTATCTCAAGAAATAGTCATATGTCTGTCCTTTATTTGGCTGCTTATGTCTAAGAATGTTTTAAACACAATTACCTTTCCTAAAGGAGTAAATTTCAAAATTATAAGAAAATCAACCAAGGATCAAGTTTGGCAGTTTTCTTCATTATTCTTAACAATGAATAGAAATAACTTAAAAATATATATATTAGGATAATTTACCAAGGTTACATGTGCAAATTTCCCAGTTATCTCCTACATTACATATGTTTTTCCTATAATATACATACATAAAGTAAAGGTATGGCCTTTAGACAGAACTTATTATGGGCACATGAACACTAATTCGTATGGTTGGCTCTAATAGTTACGTAACTGCATGCTTTATCCTGTAACAAGGATTAAAAACACCAAGTAAGCAAGGCAAACTGTTGAAAAATGTGACTTAGAACCTTACTCCTCTAACAAATCCTTCCTGTCCAAATCGAGTTGACTATTCTCAACATTTTCTCTGTAATATCATGTCCAATTAACATCATATTACTAATACTACTATAGCAATTATCAGATTATTTAGTTATCGTTTCTTTATATATTGTCACTAACTATGGACTATATAGGAGCTCCGGTGGCACAGTGGTTAAAGCATTCGGTCACTAATCAAAAGGCAATTCAAATCTACCAGCTGCTCTGCAGGAGAAAGATGAGGTAATCTGCTTTGATAAAGATTTATAGCCCTGGAAACCCTGTAGGGCAATTCTACTCTGTTCTAAAGGGTTACTATGAGTCAGAATCAACTCAATTGCAATGGGTTTTGTTTACTTTTTGGAACTAGATACTTGATACAACTCAAATAGTTAAGGCCAAAGTCAATGGGTAAGTATACTCTGACTACAGATTATACTTTATATTAGTATAACTAGCACAATGCCTGGCATTGAGTAATAGCTCTGAATTATGATATTCCCTATCATAAGGAAATGTTCTAACAGTACAATAAAAAAAACTTTGGAATTTATTTAGAGGGTAAAAGGATGAAACTGATATTTTGTTTTTATATAAAGACAGCCTAAAGACTGCATGCTGAAACATCTAATTAAAAAAAAAATAAATTCCTAAAAAAAATAAAATATTTAAATGTTGAAAGTAAATGATACGCTAGTTAAGAGAAGTTCATTTCAGCTGGTATAATAAGAATACTATTTTTACCCTATCATGATAAATTTTAATTTTTAAGAAATGTATTTATTTAATACTATTAATATTCCTTCTAAATGCTTAAAATTAAAATAATCAAACATGAGTGCTTATTAAATGAAGTTATTATATAGAGAATGCCATGATATGCAAGTTTTAAAAAGGCTTGCTGAGATTTAAAAGTCCAATTATTTTCATAAACTGAAAAGTCCAATTTGTTTTCATAACAAATTAAACACTTGTGCAGTTTTAAATAATGTATTTCATAAATCCTGGCTTGAATATTTATACCTCAAATACAAAAGAGTATGTAATGTAAGATGCCTCTACCTCACACATAGTAAAAATGTGCTAGCAATATAACACAATAAAAAGTGAGACAATTCATTTACTGAGATCCCTTTACACCAAAGAAAAAATTACATTATCTTTTTCTCTCAAACAACGGCTTATCAAGATAATGTCATTTGTGATGATTATGCATTCATTTGCATAAAATGAAACATTTAAATTTTCTAGTCGAAAGACTAAGTTAAATCTAATGTTTTCACAAGGAAGCTAAAGGACCTATATGTAGTAACTTCCAAACTACACAATAAACTTTAGAAAATAAGAAGGACATTCAATGGCAAATGCCCTGTTCATGATCATTCATAATTTCTTCATTTTTAGCTTCTTGATTTTTTTTTTTTCACATAACATTATTAATTTGTTAAACCACTTTACCTTTCTGCTGTAAGGATTACTAATTACTAACTTGGTGTCATCTGAACCAGATAAAATATATTCTCCAGTGTCATTCCAACAGATTGTATTAACCTAAAAAGAAAACAGAAAAAAAATTAAGCAAACTGTAAATAAAATGAAGCATACCATCTTTCATTACCTGATGGTTCAAAATATGTATCATTAATGAGGTTATGTCTATGATAAATACTATTCACCAGTTTACTTACTGAAAAAAATAATCACTGCCATTTAGCTAGCACAATATTCTCAAATTTCACAATGAAAAGTTTCTTTCTCAAATTTTATTGTTTGAATTTATTATAATTAATCCATTTTATATCCAAAGACATAAAAACAAGCCCACTGAAAAGGAATTAGAAAAAACTTACCTACAAAACTATAGTAATGAATACTTTCTCTGATACTGGCATAAAGATAGACATATAGGTCAAAAGAATAGAAGTGAGTCCAGAAATAAACACTTACATTTATGGTCAGGTGGTTTTTTTTTTTAACAAAAGTGCCAAGACTCATCAATGAGAAAAAAAAAAAAAAGATTCTTTTCAAAAAAAATTATACCAGAACAACTGAATACCAACACACCAAAAAAATAAAACAAAATAAAAATAAAAACAAAGTCGGACCCCTTCAACATACCATATACAAAAATTAATTCAAAAGGAATAAAGAACCTAATATAAGAGCTGAAACCACAAAACTCTTAGAAGATACCATACAAATAATTCTTCATGACAATGGATTTAGCAAGGGATTTTTAGATAATGACACAAAAAGCATTAGTATAAACCAAAGAAAAAAAGATAGCTGGACTTCATAAAAATTAAACACTTGTGCATCAAAGAACATTATCAAAGAAGGGAAAAGAAAATCTACAGAATGGATGAAATATTTGTAACTAATATATATGATAAGAGTCTACTGTTGTTGTTAGGTGCTGCCAAGTTGATTCTGACTCATAGTGACACCATGTATAATAGAAAGAAACATTGCCAGATCATGTACCATCTTCACAATTGTTACTATACTGCCGCAGCCACTGTGTTAATCTATCTCATTGAGGGTCTAATTTCCAGAATATATAAACAATTATTACAACTTAATAACAAAAAGACAAATAATATAAAAATGAGCAAAGGAATTGCATAGATATTTCTCCAAAGAAAATACGAAAATCACCAAAAACCACATAAGCTGTTCAATATCATTCCATAACCAAATCCACTGCCACTGAGTCAATTCCAACTTATAGTGACCCTATTGGACATTACTGCCTCATAGGGTTTCCAAGGCTGTAAATATTTACGGAAGCCTCGCCTTTCTCCCGTGGAGTGGCTAGTGCGTTTGAACCACTCATCTTTTGGTTAATTATTAGGAAAAAAGTGCAAATAAAAACCACATTGAGATACTACTTTACGGTGACCAGGATAGGTCTAATTAAAAAAAGAAAATACAAGTGTTGGTGAGAATATGGAGAAATTAGAATCCTTGTACACTACTTGTAGGAATGGAAAATGGTTTGGCAACTGTATAAAACATTTTGGCGGTTCCTCAAAAAGCTAAACATAGAAATACCATATGACCCAGTAATCCTACTCCTAAGTATATACCCAAAGAATAGAAAACAGCTACTCATACAAACACATGAATAAGCATGTTCCTAGCAGCACTATTCATAACAGCCAAAAGGTGGGGGGGGGGGACTCTAACATGGCCATCAACAGATGAATGCATATGACTGGTATATACAGTCAATTTTCATTATTCACAGTAGTTCTATAAGGTCACCATGAACCTCTACTTATTATGTAGAAATACTGCCGAGGAGGGTTCACTATGAGTTAGAATCGACTTGATGGTTGTTGTTGTTGTTGTTGTTATGTGCCGTGGAGTCGGCCCCAACTCATAGCGACCCCTCCTTGGGTTTCCGAGGCAGTATCACTACGGAAGTAGGATTGCCCAACCTTCCTTCCGAGGAGTGGCTGGTGGGTTTGAACCGCCAGCCGTCTGGTTAGCAGGCAAGTATCTTAGCATAGTAGTGATTCTAATTTTGGTTTGAACCACTGCTCTCTTAGGGGAAACACAAGATTAGTCTTCTGCAAGTTTCTGGTCACAACATTTCATCAAGTGATCAACACATAACCTTGTATTATGTGTGTTTCTGTTTAAAGACACCTTATTTAATATATACAGCTCCAAAACATAACCTTGTATTATGTGTGTTTCTGTTTAAAGACACCTTATTTAATAACAGCTGGTTCCTTTAACTTTGAACTCATAGCCAAGCCTGCCATAACTCATGCCTGAATGAAGTTTATTCAGCACATCAGAGCCTTCTTGTGCTTAGAAACACTAGATAGCACTTCAGCGCTACGCTGAGGGGCCATTTTAACAGTAAAATCACCAACAAAAAGCACAAAATGCAAAAAACATGACACTAAATAGACCATGAAAAGAACACTTATTTACAATATGAGAGCTGAACCAAGATTAGGTATAGCGTCTCTTTGTTCCATATCCGCAAGAACAAGTGCATCCAACAACTTAAATTTTTCACCAATACTGATAAAGCATAATTAAAAACCAAAATCTTTTGCCATCGCAAATGAGTTCTCCATAAAGGTATAAAAGAAAGAAAACAGTTTTTTTTTTTGTTGTTGAAAGTATTAAACGAGAATGTGATGTGCATCACAGGCAATCTGCTAGAGACTGCAAAGACAGGAAAGAATTTTATTTTATATAGCCAACCAGATACATGGTTCATACATAAACTCATCTGGTAATTGAATAGCCACCTGGGTTTGTTACTTGCCTTTATCCAAAGAAAAAAAATATCTCACATCTTTATGACCTGAAATGGGTTTGCAACTTGGAAACCAAGCACTAACTACAATTAGGCTCTTACACTCTAGGGAACCTGAGACTGAAATATAGGGATGCTATTGTCTTTGATTGCTTACATTTCAAAGATATGGCTTCCTGATCCTTAGGGAAACCTTCCTGGGTTGTAAAACTGGCAAGAGTCTTATTTAGCCTTTAAAAAGACTTACATACATTTAAAAGAGGCAGAAAAAGAACTCGCAAGTTTTCAAAATAAAAGCTATAAGAAAACAGAGGAGGGAACTCTCTCTCTTTTTTTCCAACAGGGAAAATTAAGTCTCTTTTTTTTTCTACTTTGTTTGTAATTTGTATTTAGTCTTACAGCATGTTAGCAAATGACTAGGTATGCTGCAAAAATTGATTTTGAGATTATAAATAAATTTTAGCAAGTTGGCAAAATCAGAAATACAGCTTCCATGAATAATGAGGTTCAAGTGTACCTATAATGGAATATTATCCAGCCACAAAAAAGAATGAAGTACTGATACTTGCTACAATAGGGCTTAACCTTAAAAGCATTATGCTAAGTGAAAGAAGCCAAGCACAGAGGTCACATATTATATGTTTTCATTTATATGAAACATTGAGAATAGGTAAATCCATAGCAACAGAAGACTGGTCATTGTCAGGGAACTGGGGGATGAGGGAATTAACAGTAATTAATTCATGGGTACAGGGTTTCCTTTTGGGGTGATGAAATGTTTTGGACTGGATAGGGATGACTCTTGCACAACATTGCTAATGTACTAAATACCATTGAGTTGTTAATTTTAAAACGGTTAATTTTATGTTGTGATAAAATTCACCACAATTTAAAAAACTTAAAAATGAATCTAAGACCTAAATGTAAGAGATGTAAATATTCATAACTTTGGATTAAGCACTGATTTCTTAAATATGACACTAAAAGCACAAACAACTACAAAAAGAGGAATTGGAATTCATCGAAATTAAAAACTTTTGTATGTCAAATGACACTATCAAGAAACTGAAAAGAAAACCCTCAAAATGGAAGAAAGTATCTGCAACACATATATTTATTTGATAAGGATCTAGTATCCAGAATATATAAAGAACTTTAACAACTCAATAAAAGAAACATTAACCCACTTAACAATGGGTAAAGGACTTGAGCAAACATTTCTCCAAGCAAGATATACAAATGGCCAATAATTACATAAAAAGATACTCAAGATTATTAGTCAACAAGGAAATTTATATCAAAACCACAATGGGATATCACTTTATACCTATAGAGTGCTAATAATAATAAAAAAAAAAAACAGAAAATAAGTATTGGCAAGGATGTACAGAAACTGGAACCCTCATCAGATGTAAAATAGTGCAGCTACTGTGGAAAACAGTTTAGCAATTTTTCAAAATGTCAAATATAGAGTTAACCATATGCCCTAGCAATTCCACTCCTACATATATCTCCAAGACAACTGAAAACATGTGTCCACATAAAAACTTGTATACAATGTTCACAGCAGTATTATTCATAATAAGCAAAAAGAAGAAACTCAAATGTCCATAAACTGATGAATGGATGAACAAAATATGGTATATCTATACAATAAAATATTACTCATCCATAAAAAGGAAAGACATACTGACACATCTCCAATATAAATAAAGCTTGAAAACATTATGGTAAAAAAAGAACAAAACTCAAAATCATTTGGAGGGGAAAAAAAAAAAAAAGGTGGGAACCAGGTTTGCTGGTCTAATAGAGCCTGGTGGAACCACTATGGCCCCGAGCTGCCCTTCAGGCCTGGACTTGAACCCACACCTGTGGTTTCCAGCCAAAGTACAGGCATGTGAGTTAAACATTTACCTCAAGTAGACACACGCCCTGGAGAGAACAATCATGGGAGAAGGAAGGGCTGCTTATGCACAGGGAGATAGCTCAGGGGGCAGGAGAGTATGGAGGGATGGACACTGGGAAGAAGTAACTATGGGGAGGAAGTGGGAGGGGAGCTGTTGCATTGTGGTAAACTGTGGTCAATGACATGAGACAAAGTATATGTGAACTGCTATATGCAAAGTGAATTTGCTCTGCAAATCTTCACCCAAATCAAAATTAAAAAAAGAAAACATTTATGGTAGGTAAAAGAAGCCAGACACATAATATCACAAATAGTAGTATTCCATTTATATAAAATATACAGAATAGGCAAACACATACAAAT